AGGATCTGGGAGACCCAGGTTCATATCCCCACATAGAAGCATGTGAGGGTGCATCTAAGAATGATTCTATGTATGAAAACCAATCGAGTTATAACGGGTACAAGACTCCTATTTGTTACATGTCTGTCTTGTAGATTCTTATGTCTGTTTTTCTTTTTCTGTAGAAAATCAATAAAAACCTATTTAAAAAAATAATAGAAGCAAGCATCTGTAAATTTAAGAAATGATCTCTGAGATCTCAGGGGGCATTGTGGGCATTGCTAGGCAACTACAATAATATTGCCCATCTTCAAACCTTAATTTCTACCAGTAAAGGTCAGGGGGCCAGGTCTTTTGCAGCACTAGTTTGGCCTCACAGTCCACAGCTGCTTCCTTCCATCCTGCCCTGTAGGAGGATTCATCAAGGCCAGAGCCAGCAGCAACTACTGGGAAGCTTGCTACAATGCAATCTGTGTCACTTACTCAGGTATGGTGGTGACTATGACTTGAGTCCCACAACTTGCCTGGACTCAGCAACAGCCTCCATACAACTTGTATGACTTGGGAGGGCTTGGCAGTGGCCACCACACAACTCACCTAAGTGACTTGCTACTGCATATTTTTTGCAATTTGGCCACACTTTTCCCAAGGAGAGCCTAAGAGGAGGAGGGAAAGAGGGGAAACTGAGAGCCAGCATGGTATAGTGATGAGAGTGTCAGACTAGGATCTGGGGGACTCAGGTTCATATCCCTACTGCACCGTGGAAGCTTGTTGGGTGACTTTGGGTCAGTCACTCTGTCTCAGCCTAGTATACTTCATAGGATTGTTGGGAAGGTGAAACAGAAAAGAGGAGAAAGCTACTCTGGGGTCTGCTTGGGACATTAGTGGGGTAAATTGAAGTAAATAAATAATAAATAAAACTGAAGACTTAAGGGGAAAATAAAAGAAAGGTTGCTTGGTGAGTGGGAAAAGAGAGGATGAATCAGGGAAAGGGGAGAGGGGGGAGGACATGGGGGCTGCAAAGAAGATAAAAGAAATTGTGTGGAGAAGGGAATATGGGGGAAATGAAGTGACCTCAGCAAGTCATTGTGAGTTTTCTGCTTATTATTTCAATTTTCACTCACTCCAGATACTCAGTGTTATATCCAAGTTTGTAGAGGTGCTTCATCGCTGTGTCAAAGTTCCCAGATTCCTTTAAGTCAAGTGCAGAATCTAAGTTAGCAGTTCCTGAGTGTGACAGACACCAGAAGGATATTTTTTAATTCCTTCACTCAGCCTATTGGATTTTGGCCAAATTTGGACCACATTTACACAGATATTTGTCTAGAGTACACATGTCTTCCTTACTACATATAGTAACACAGCAGCTCTTTTACCACAAGGAAGTAAGCTATAGTACTGTGTGGAAAGGCTCACTTGTTCAGCCATAACTATTGTCCACCTACAGCTGCTTGTAATTCCTTTTACCCAATTCCCAAAGGAAGTTAATTCTTCAAATGACATATAAGTAGTACAGCTGAGACAGCTATCACTTAGATATTCAATCTCTTTACATCTAATTCTGATTTTTCGTTTTCCTAACCTTTTGTCTTTCTCAAAAAAGTCTGTCATCATCTTCAAAAATCAAAATATGTACAAACTTCTAATTTTCATTTGAGCTACTTAATATTTCAAGATGAGTAAATGAGAGTATTCATTTACCTTTTTCAGTATTGTTGATCTAAAGTACATTAAACACCACATTATAAAATAAGCAATATCTGGCTGCTTTCTGTTACTAATCATTTCACAGATCAGTATTTGTATAAAATGTTGCGCTTCATAATCTTGATCTATTACATTACTTACTATAGATAGATTTGGAAGAACTCTAGCAGGTTCATCCATATTATCGTCGGATCATTAGACTACTGATGGATTAGAGTTAATGATAATGATTTTTTACTTCTATAGATTACAGTCAGACAGTCCAGGATGTTAAAAAAAAATTATCTGCCCACTTTCAGCTTTTCCAGTTCATTATTAGATGTTTATAAATTATTATTTATGGTAAAATATTGTGGAAACAAATGTTCTAGAATAAATCACCTATATTACAGTTTTCCAACTCAATTGTATTAAAAAGCTGATGGACTTCAAAATGGTAATCTTATCTTCTGCACAGGTTGAATCTCATTGCTATGGCAACAAGAGACCCAAGAAAGAGTTTTAATACATCACATTTTGAATGACAAACAGATAAGATCTTTGGTGATAAAACTCCATTCTACAGTCATGATTGGAATTTTCTTTATTCAGGATTTCTCCTGTACTCTTATTATTAGGGGGACATCTTTGTCGGGGGGGGGCTTTAAAATAACTTTAAACATATATTTTATGATTATGCTTTGTTTCCAAAGGGGAAGACAATAAATGGCCAGCATTTGTGGGAAAGTGTGAAGTAACTGGACTACAGCAAAAACAAAGGGTAGTAGGGTAGACAGCTAAGGATTGTCTATGACAACATTCATTCAGAATGATTACAGAAATCCATTCTACCCAGTATTATTATGTAAGGACTTCTTTGCAGAACCAATACCTTCCTACAAATATTGAGTA